ATTGAGAATCAATGGCTGTGCCTGACTTTAGACACCCATGTTTTGTCTCTACCTCTCTGTACCTGAGTTCCTCCATCTGTAAAATGGGGCTAACACTCTAACTTCTTCACTTTGAGAGCCTCAAAAGAAGGGTGTTAAAGTAGTATCATCATCATCACAAAACTGTCATAAAAATGCAGATACCAAACTAATATGAGGGATAGGATTTTAATATTTTTAAAAATAACTCTTGGGTAATAAAGGTGTTGACAAAATTACCTATTTGGGGGGATAGAAATATTCCAGCTACCCCAATTATAAGTAAGGTTAACGTCAGCAACATAAAAGATAAGATTAACTATCTGTCACTGCAGCTGCTTCACATAATTTTGACCTAATAGTGAATATCATATATCTTTGCCAAGTTAATTTAAAGGAGTAGTACCACAATTCTGCATTTAGATGTAGCTAGTCAGCGAGCCTTTCTATCCTCATTGCAATGAATCCTCTTTCATCTCCACAGAAGTTTGATAAAATTCTTTGACTAGATCATCTTGAACAGGAGGGGGTTTGCATGGTCACTGTGTTAACAGAGCTGGCCTCTGGGACTCAGGACTGAAAATCCCAGCTTTCACTTAGGGCTAGTCTACACTACCCGCCCGGATCAGCGGGTAGAAATCGATCTCTTGGGGATCGATTTATCGCATCTCATCTAGACAGATAAATCGATCCCTGAATCAACGCGCTTACTCCCACCTCGTCAGTAGGAGTAAGCACCGTTGATGGGGGAGCCGCAGCAGTCAATTTGCCGCTGTCCTCACAGCGGGGTAAGTCGAATAGGATACGCCGAATTCAGCTACACTATTTGCGTAGCTGAATTTGCGTATCTTAAAATCGACACCCCCCCTTAGTGTAGACCTAGCCTTAGAAGTCTTTGGGGAGAGTTTCAAAGACATAAATGGCAGCTAAGTGCCTCCCTTCTATTGACATTCAATAGGACTAAGAGTCATAAAGCCTTGGGAAATCTTCCACTCTAACATTATCCTTTCTAAAGAGAGCTTTGAAAATGTAAACTGCTGCAAACCAGTGCATTCTGGTGCAAACTGAGCACTGGGGTTTGAGGGAACAAGCAACGAGGACCGGGAGTGAGCCTGCAGCTCTGTTTCTCCTTCAACTGCCATCCCCCACCCCCCCAAGCTAAGAGAGAGCTGCTCCTATACTAGTCCCTAGAGAAGGTGGGGTTTATAAAGATGGAACCCATGCAACTGCAGAGTTACATGTACTACAAAGGAGTGGAGGAAAGGGGCAGAAATAATTGTAAAGGACCCAGGAGGAGAGCAGCATGGAAAGTTCTGAATCAAAAGTAAAACTGTTGGTCATGGTTGGCTTCTCGCCAGGTTTACAGAAAGCTGAAAATCAATTACTTGTTGACATTCCAAATGACTGTTATTTACCCAAATGGCAGTTTTCACCAATAAAACTGGTTTGCTGCACATGACAAGCTTGAGAAAATACTCTAAAAACGTACAAATACACAACTAATTTAGAAAGCCTTTTGGCAGAAGGTTGTTCCAAGCTACAACATTGGGCCTTGATCCTGCAGCAGGATCTCCTGATTCAGAAGCCAGGTGGAGTCAAATTGACTTTGATGAGGCACATTGGTTGGTGCTAACGGCTCCCATTGCAGGGTCCCCTAATGTGGGACTACTCACATGATTAAAGTTAAGCACTCCCAAAAAGTATGAGACTTTTACCAAATTATTCTGTTTGACTGCAAAGGGCTCACAGGAGAATGCCACAGCTCCTGTAGTAAAAAAAAGTGCAGTAAAAAAGACCTGGATGTTCATAAGAAATTTAACAAGTGAGAATTAAGTTTAACAAAGTAGATGCAGGTAGGGTGTACTGTTACTGATCATGAGCAATAATGAAAGCAGGAAGTTTGAACTGATGGAAAGAACTGCCAGATATACAAGAGAGACTAATTAAATGGTTGTAGAAACGCTACTGGGAAATGCCTAAACTCAGAAGAGGAAACTGAACAAATTGTTAAGGAAATACCTGGGCGTGTCATTTGGCACTTCAGAGGTTGACCATTACACTCAAATCCGTAGCATACATCCAAGCATGCGTTAAGAGAAAGGGAATAGAACTAGATAGGGAGACCTTTTCCCTTCCAATTCCAAAGAGAATAATGTACAACTACCAGTTTTAGAGTCACAAGCGTTTGTGACAGTTAACATTTCCATGAGTGTTTTCTAATTTAATCCAGATCCAAATGTTCCCTTTGCTGCCAATGAATACCACTTTTGCCATGGAAATCCATTCTCTTCCCAGCAAAAATTTTCATTAATTCTTTTCCTATGTGGAAGTCACCATTTCTCAAGTTCCTATAGGGTTTTTACAATGCAAAGATTTTTTGTGCAGCAAAATGACATTGTCCTGCTCATGGAGCATGCCATGCTTTTTCTTTTTTTTTAAATTGAGACTGGAGAGATAAAGTAAATTAGGTGTTCCTATTTACCCACTTCCATAACACAAGAACAAGAGGATGTTCACTTAAACTGAAATTTAAAACTGATAAAAGAAACTTTTTAAACACAATGTGTAACTAACCTGTGGAACTTTCTGTAGCAAATTATCCTTGAGGCCAAGAGCTTTTTAAGATTAGACATTTTAGATGGATAATGGGAACAGCCATGACTACTTTAGGTCAGTGGTCCCCAACCTTTTTGTGGCCAGTAGCACATTCATGTTTTCAGAAGAGTGTGGCGGGCGCCAACAATTTTTCGAGGCTTATTTTGTATTTGTACATTAAATAATACGAAAAACATCATATTTAATATTACATAATATATGAATCCAGAGAGAAGAGAGAAGCCGGAAAGAAGCCGCGAGGACAGAGAACACTGGCGCCTGCAACCCCGGAGTTCTCTGTCCCTGGCAGGCGCGGGGCCCCAGCTTCTCTCACCTGCTGGGCACTAGGTGGGCCCCGTGCCTGTCGGGGACAGAGAACACTGGTGCCCGCAGCTTACAGCCCCGGAGTTCTCTGTCCCTGGCAGGCGCGGGGCCCCGGCTTCTCTCCCCTGCTGGGCACTAGGTGGGTGCACATAAATGCCCCGGCAGGCGCCATGGCACCTGTGGGCACCATGTTGGGGACCACTGGTTTAGATAAAACAAAACATTTATTTTTAAACTTCAACCAACCATTAACTGAGGGGTTAGGAAGAAACTACCACTGCGGGCATGTTATTCCGCACTTGTCTATTATAATAAGGTTTCTTGCATAGTCCTCTGAAGCCTCTTGAATTGGTTAAAGACTGAGGCTAAAGAAGATACTGGACTAGATGGATGACTAATCTGTCTATGGCTCCTGTCACCATAGGATGTGAGCATCTCACAGTCTAATGTATTTTCCTCACAACACCACTGTGAGGTAAGGTAGTGCTATTATCCCCATTCTACAGATGGAGAACTGAAATAGAGAGGCTAAGTGACTTGCCCGAAGTCATACAGGAAGGAGAACCCAGGCAAAGGTACTGGAACTAGGGCTTCTGGGGCAGCAGTACCTCCTGGCTTGAAGTAGTAATAACAACCAAATATATGGTTTCCGCTTTCAATGCCCCAACTATAAAAATTGTTCCAGCACCTCTGAACCCAGGCCTTCCAAGTCCTAGGGCAGTACTTTAACCACTGGTCCATGGCAATTCCTATGTTCCTAAGCATAAAGTTGAGTAGATTTTTTTGAAGCGGGGATGGAGGGTTTAAATGCATTCATGAAAACTGACTTCATCACTGATTTGACTGGAGGTGAGAACTTTTTTCTACACATTTCTTTTTGTAAACTGAATAATGTTCAATACCATAACCTACAGAAAACCCTCCTGACCAGCATTTAGCAGGACTAATGCAAATGGTAAGGTATCGTCCCTGACTTTCTACTGGTTGGAAGGGTACCTGGGTTTATATCCAAACATATGCCACTTAAATGAAAAAACAAACAAACAAACAAACAAAAAGCTTAACTTACCAGTGATTTCTAGAACTAGTCAAAAAAAATTTCAACACCATAATATTCTGTCAGAAAATGCAGTTGTCAAAACCAAAACATTTCACAAAAACCTGTGGATTTCAATTAAGTTTTTGATGGGGAAAAGTCAAAAATGATTCTTTTTGACAGCATCATAATACTTCATTTCAATATAGTTAGAGTGTTTTTTCAACTTTATCATTTAAATTTATTTCATTATGACATAAAATATTGATTTAAATATCATAGTTTATAACAATTTGACATTAGCAAAATGAAGCTATTCGATATTTCAAAAAAATAAGGATCTTTTTTAATTGGCTTTTCATTCTGATTTAGCATGAAAATCATTTTGAAATGTGAGATTTTCTGCAGAATGAAAATTCCACTTTCTGACCAGCTCTAGTGAGTATCTCTTTTCGGGCATCATTGCTGCCTAAGGAATTCATTGTGGAGACAGTCCAAAGCAGCGAAGACACCAAGGAATTCAGGTAGAAAAAAAATAATGACGGGAACAACATCAAACACAAAGATTTTTTTTTTTTAATATTGGAAGAGCCACAATATTCAAACCATCGTGTTTTGCAAGGCGTTATTTTGGTTTGGTTTTTTTTTTAAATGCCACACACAAATATTAGCAACTGTAGCCTCACAAATCATTTTAATTAATTTCTGTTAGGCTGACCCTGAAAGATATTGAGTACTTCTTGCATGATACAGAATGCCTGGTGCTGGCAATGGGAATGGAAGACCCTCAGCACATCACAGGGTTTGGCCCATGCAATTAGGATCAGTAAGAGGTAGCTGATGTTCAAAGCAATTGAGATTGTTAAGGCAATATAATTTAGTATGGCCCATAATGGGAAGCTATGAGGGTATATGGAAAACATCAGTGGTGTTTATTAATAGCTAGTGAGAAACTAGATACAATCCACAGAGTAGTTCAAAAAGCAGTAGATATAAATAAAGAAATAAAAGCAGTAGGAGTAAGCAAGCAGACAGTGTGGATAAAGTAGCAGGGGATTTCACAAAGGAAATATTATTGGCCAGACTTGTCGGAATGTACACAGAATAAAATATTACTTGAAAACAGCATATAATCTACTGCCAGTATCACCTTATTTGTGAAATGGGAGCCACAAGAATATGAGAATTGAAGCCAAATCAGAGAGAGATCTACTACAAGCATCGTAGCAGAGCTGGAGGCAAATGTGACTGGAGATACAATGGGAAATCCAATAAGGTAAATGGTAAGGGCAAACTATACCAATATTTGTTAGGTTATTTATTTGTTAGAGATAATGATAAACTAAGTAGCACGAGTTAATGCTGCAAATCAGGAACTAAAAACTCCAAAAAGTCTTTCCACAGAATGGAAAGAAGGAAGCCACTGTAGTGAGTATTTGCTACTACTTCCATATGTAGGCAGCAGCAGAAGACAAGCTCATGCAAATGGACTCCCAGGACACTTGGAGGGTTCCTAAATTCTGTTCTGAGTTACATATCTGCAAATTACAGATAGGATTTAGATCCAGATACCTTTGAATTGTGAGGAAGATACAGTTCCAATCCAAATGGTGTCATGCTTCCAGAATGGAAAGGGGGAACCCAAGGTATTCTGAAGGCAGTATCATGATGGCTTCCAGGAGGGCAATCTTGGCTGATCCTCGAAGACTGTGGGGTTTGTGGGATTCTGGCTTGAAGGAATGGCACAGAAGAATCATACAGCAGTTTTCAGTTCCCTGCCAAGGTTTTACCTATGTCAAACCAACGCCATAATTTGTATCTTTCCTTTCCTTCTGAACTTCAATTCCCATCTATTTAATTTTTATAATGCCAGTTACAAAGAGTGTTCTTCAGTCTTTATTTAGATATTTAGTTATGAACAGAGTTTGCAGACAACTGAACCAAACAAACAAACAAAAACCCACAGTTGTTTCAAGTCAAGCCAAAACCAATTTTTATTTTTCAGCAAACTAAAAAAGTTAGAAAATATAGGTTTTAGTTGGATCAAAATGCTTCATATTGTTTTGGGAGCTTACCCTTGTTTATATATACATAACATTGCAGTAAAATTCAAAACAAAAAGATTGTTTGAATCAAATAAAACAATAAAAATAAAACATCTCTAACAAGCCAAAACGAAACATTTCTATTCTTTCCCCAAAAAAAAAAAAAAAAAAAACTGGCAATTAAACTAATTGTTTGGTTGACCAGAATCTGCATTTTTCAGCAAAAGAGGTTTTGAATGAAAACGTCACCCAGTCCTAGCCATAAATCCTGTTTGTTCAAGTTGAGTCTTCTATTTGTGGGTATTATGAACAAAACTGAGACCTACTTTCTTTACAGCCTGCATAGACTCTTGCCTCTGCTACGCAACAAGCTGACTCCTTTAAACCACTCCCACGTCAGATGACTTACTCTCTAACCATCTTCTCAGTATGTAGCTCCTTGCGCATGCCAGCAATCATTTAAATATTTTTGAGAACTTGAGGGGAAAAAATCCCTATACAAATAATAAGTGCCTGCACACATGGACTAATACCTACATTTAACCTAATTCCATGTAGGTGTTAATCCGTGCCCATAATTTAAACAAGTCTTTATTTTGCACTCAAATGCATACCAGATGTAAAAGAAAAATCAGAACACTTATTCAGAATGCAAGTCTTGTAAAGCAGAATTTTAATGTGATGGACTACTTCAAAATTTGGCTTCTCATGGTACATAGCAAATGTTTAAATGTCCCAGTGAGAGACAACTGGATTGTTATTGTTGTCCCACCATATTATATGTGGGTTTTGTTGGCTAACATGAGAAAATTGTGCATGGATGTTGACAACTCAATGGGATTGCTATTATGACAGTCACCATCTTGGGTGACACACTTGGGACTGAGCCAGGGACCTCAAGACCTAAAAAGCATGCTACTGCTTGAGATAAAAAGCCAAGCTTCTGTAGCTATTAGCTATAACAACTCATATCCTCCGTGTATGGGCACACGGGGGACGTGTAACACACACTCACACATATTCATGGAAATTAAATCATCCCACTGCTGTGCAGCAGAATCATTTAAATTAGCACATCCAAGTGCAAACAAATATGCCACTTAAGAGGCTACCATGGTTAAGAGAACCTCATAAGACTATATGGAGTTAGGAGGTAATCACCTTTTTCTTTGAGAAAATGTAGGGCTCATGAAAAGCACTGAACTCCTGAGACAGAAATTCTCTATTGACCATAGACTGGGTACTAACCAGCTGATAGTAGTGAAAGCTTCCTCACTTTGCCCTGGCAATATACCTCAAACATGCACCTCTAAGGCCTGGTCCCCACTAAGTCCCCAAATCGGACTAAGGTATGCAAATTCAGCTACGTTAATAACGTAGCTGAATTT